TTAATGACCAGCAAAGAGGCCTGAGAGGACAAAAACAGCTTTACTCAAGGTCAATTGCTGGTGGTGGACTGGTCCTGGTAGCTGCATCTGTCTGATGCTGGTTTGTGAGCCATTCTTGGTTTCAGAGCTCTACTTCCCCACGTGGGGGTCATATGGGGAGGAGGAAGCAAGTGGGGGGCAGGTGGGGGGCAGGAGACTGGGGTTGTGTCTGGTGTAGTAAGAAACTAGTCTGTCATCTGCAGCCAGGTTGTTGCCATTCCTGGGTCTTCAAGTGCACTGTTCACACATCAGGCCTTCTCAGGTCACGATGCCTCCTCTACCCCTACTGCGTGACTCCTGGTACTACGAGACAGATGCCTTATCTATTTCTATATCACCTATAGCTATATATTTTTTGACTGCTCGTAGGAGGATAGTGAAATTTTGTCTTACGCATTTTGGACATGTTACCAGGGGAGACCAGTCTCGTAGGAAAGTTGATGGACAAGGAAAAGGAAGGCGCTTGTCGAGAAGGACTGACACCTTGGCTGCACCAATGGGCTCTACCATGCGAACAATTGGGAGGCTGGTGCAAGACTGAGCAGTGCTGGGTTCTGTGGTGCATGGGGTCAGTATGCGTGGAAACTGACTAGATGGCACTAGGCACAGATTTTTTTCTTAGGTGGACAGTATTGTTCAGTCCGATTTCTCAACCTTGCCATTGTTTGCATGGAGGGCTTCATAATTCTGTATCTGGGTGACAATCCTCTGCATTATAACATGCATTGAGATAAAGCTGGCTTCTCTTCACTTCAGGACACTAGTAGCCCTACTCCACTGCCCCCAAATGTCCCCAGAAAATAACGGGACCTGGTTGAGAATCACTGTATCTCTATCAATGCCACAACAAAGTTACACTTTTCTGATAAAGACAAGCAAAAACCAAGTCTTTAGAAGTCTCAATTAAAGAACCAAAAGGGGATTTAAAAAAAAAAGGGAAAACAGATACTAAATTGCTGGGCTATATACAACTCAATGCAAGCGAGGAAAATCTATAATAAATTGCAATTATATCTTCAGATGTTTCCTTTCCACTTCTAAACCAATTTAGATTTCTCTTCAAAATTGCCTGCATGCTATGGAGATGTCTCTTTGTTAACTTAGGAAGTCCTTTTTTTTTTTTTAAATGTTGATTACTCAGCTGCTTGTATGCAAATCCCAATCTTTTGTCTGAACCACCAGCTTGGGCTGCGCTGACCACAGTGGCATTTCAGGGGTGTCACACACCAAGATGAATGGACTGTGGGGGTGTTGTAAAGAGTCCTGGGCCTGAAGTTTCAGTGGGCAGCCACTGGGCCAGGGCCAGAGAGGGGAGTTGTCACTAGCACAAAGCATCATGGGACCAGGTGAGACAGGGGTTGACCAGGTTCAGCAGAGCCAGCCAGCCAGAGAGTCACCTGATTTTTCTCCCACCGTGAGAATCCCTCCAGGGTTTTCTGCAGGAAGGTGACACCATCAGGCTTTGCATTCAGAAAGCCTGGCAGGAGAAGGAGACCTAGCGGGAGAGGGACGTGAGCCTAGGAGGTGACTGATGTGGAAGTGGTTTACACCAAAAAGACAGAGAAAGCTGACAATTACTTCCACTAAGTCTATAAATAGTCTTTCTTTGTTTATTTGAAACTAGTTTGTAGGACACACACACTGCCACTTTCCCTTTTACTTCTCCTTGTAGAGCCACTCAGACCAGAGTATAGGTCTGATGGGTAAGAAATCTGGAGGATTTTTAAGGCTGGCACCTGTTAGGTAGCTAGATTTAGGGGTAAGGTGGGAGGTGGGGCAGCGGCTGTCCCTCCCGT